TTCACTTCTAAAGGTATATAAAGCAGACCTCAGTGACACGCTGCAGTACGCTTCTCTGCCGACAAATTTCAGTAAGTACGTAGGTTATCCGCTTGAAGAAAGGTATGCTTTAATTGAAGTAATAAACAGCCTGTAGGAAACTACTTACTAATCCTTCGCAATTGCGAACAGTGCTCTGAACCCTACAACGCACAGTCCCCATAGTTAGAGGTTCACAAGCATTGCAGTATAGAAGTGGTCATAGCGATAGGTGGATCGTCCATGATCCCACTACCTCCATAACTAACTCCCTTTTTTCCCGTGCGATTGTAGATACCACCTGTCACACCGACAACCGTCACAACGCCCAAAGAAGTCCGCCATCAACGGCGATGATTTTCTTGTAGGCAGGGAAACTCAGGCCTCACCAGTAAGTCATCCCGTTAACACTTTTCTGCTTCCTAGGAGAGGGAGCCCGAGGATGTCTTTGAAAGGAGCAATGACACTCTGCCCACTGGCGGGGACTTTCCTGAAGCCGCCAGTGGCAGCCAAGAAGCTGCGGATCGCGATCCCAGTATACTACTCTTGTGCAATCAGCTTTCCCAGTACACCAAGGAGGTGAGACGTACCCACAAAGATCTAACTGACCGGCTTAACCCCCTCGAATTTATGCTGGGACGGGGGCTTTTACGCCAGCGGCAGCTAGAAGCGCTGATCCGTCGGCAGCCAAATGCGACTACTTCGGCTGATAGCACCGTGCTACGGAACCCCGTCTCTGACCCCCTCCGAACAGCTGCCGACTTTCAGCAAATGAACACTAAGTAGACGGAGGAAAACTTCCGGAAAGACCTGGTAAACAGCACATTTGATCAAATTTACTTTCCTTAGATCCACTGCCTTAACGAGCTCGGCGGAAATAAGGTTGACGACTTTGTCAAGCGTATTTTTGCCGCAGTTTTCGACAACCAACTCAGTTTACATGTCAATTTTAAAGGCAAAAAGTCTAAAGTATCATTGCATAATTCATTATTTTACAAATTTATAGTGGGTAAGTCTCCTAATATCAGCACTTAGACCTCTTTGACGCCTGAAACAGCGAGGGCAAATATAAGGTGTCGGACCTC